CTTCTTTCTCATTAAGCATATCCTTCCTTTTAATTCTGCTATTTTTATCTTACAGCACCATCATTTACACAGCCTCCCATGTTTGCAACCTTTGAGTTGTAATTGACTCTTCCCTTTCCTTCACCTTTCATATCCAATCATTATTAAGTTCCATGAATTCCGCCCTACAAGCAATCCTTCCTACCGCTGCCAGGATAACCTTTCATAAGAAAATAATGACATTTATTTTGTGCCTTAAAAGTGACAGAACCCTTTTGCCTTATTATAGCCTTTAAATTAGTCTTTTTGCCACTGAGTTCTTTCCTCTCTATTCCTTTCTTCAGACAGCTGCCAAAATTATCTTTCTTCTGCTGAAGACTTTTAGTGGTTCCCTATTATTTCTAGGGAAAAAAATGCAAACTCCTTAGCCTGACATTTAAGGCCCTTTACAATTGGGCTCCAACCCAATCTGTTCATGTTACTCCCCTCATGATCATTATATACCAGTCAAATCACACTATTTGCTAGTCTCCAAACTCAACATGTCACCTCTCCATCTTCATATCTTGGCATAAATGAATACCTAGAGTACACTCCCTCCTCACCTCAGCCTTTCATAGTTCTTATTTTATTTCAAGACTCACTTTAGAGACACCTCCTCCTGGATGCCTTCCATGATTTCCTGCCTCAAACTTCCTAGAGCTCTTTCTTATTTATCCAATGTACCCGTATGTAGTAGACAGTGTTCAAGAAATCAGAGCAGCTACAAAAAGATTTGCTTGCCCTCTCTCCTTGGCTAGACTGGCTAGAAGAATACCTGAGGACAGACATGTATAAAAAGTTCTGAGCTTGAAATTGCTGGAGGGAGATAGCTAGCTATTAGGAAGATGAGGAAGGAACCTGTATATTAGAAGCCCATGTGGTAGGGTGAGAGTAGTATCAGGCCATCAGAGACAGCAGCTGCCTGACAAGTATCAAAGCCAAGCTGGGTTGGTGACCATGTGGGAGGCATGTAATGAGCACTGCTGCACTAGAGATGGTTTGGGACACCCAGGAGGAGATGGACAGCTGTGCTGAGAGACTGACATACTGGGAGAGGATACTGGACTCCAGAAAAGTGAGGCAGCAACAGAAAACCATTAGATCCATGATGATTTTAACTTGGGGTCCAAGGACCTGCAAGTCAGGGGATAGGATGGGAAAAATGATATCTTTATTTTTGCCAACCTTTGGTTTCCTTTATAATTCTATTTATCTTATGCATTTAAAAATGTTATTCTGGGTGCCAGAATCCATGACACACACAAAAAATTAAGAAGCTCTGTACTAGAGACTGAAGAAGGAGGTGATGGGTTGGCAGAGACTCGGGACCTATGCCGGGACCCATGATTTCATTTACATCACTGAGACCTAAATGTGGTGATCGGTGAGTTTTGCAGAGACTGTGACTAAATCTCTTGGGGTGACAGAAACTAAGCTGAATAGGGTGAAGGCATGGGAGTTTGCTAAAGGGGCTAGGATACTAGTTACTTCTCTGTTCTTTACATTCCATTAATAAAACAGCCCCATGTTTATTGTTGAGGAAGTCTGATGCTCTTACGGGGGGAGCTGTGAGCTCCTTTGAGTAACATAAGCCAGAACCTGATGTTCCCAGAGGAGGTTTGGAGGGGAGAGGGAAGGGGTTTTCAAGCCCTAGAAGAAAAGCTCCCAGGATTGAATGAATCCTTCTGTCAAAGGAAGGGGGTCTAGGGGCCCCAGGGGACACTCGGGTTATACTTACCTACAGCCATGTTTTAACTCTCCCCAGGAGGCTGTAGGCTCCTTGAGCATTGGGCTGTTTTTTGTTTTGGTAACCCTGGTACTTAGCACAGTGCCTTGTGTATCATAGGGGCTTAACTGTATGTTGAATTGTGAGCTCTTTAGAGATTGGTAGCACCAGTATTATCATGTCCATGTTACAGATGAGGACACTGCCTCAGAGAGGTTGTAAGTGATTTGCTCATGTTGGTGCCAGATTTCAGCCGACTCCAAGTCTGACAGTCCATTATTCCATACTGCCTCTCTAAAGCACAGACCTAGACATGCTACTTCTTAAATTACAAAAAAACCCCACCTTTAATGATTTTCTACTGCCTTACCAACTAAAGTTCCAAATCCTATGCCTAGCATTCAAGGCCCTCTAGAATTGGGTGCAAGGGGCATCTGGGTGGTGCAGTGGACAGAGCGCTGGGCTTGGAATCAGGAAGACCTGAGTTCAAATTTGGCCTCAGATGCTTACTAGCTGTGTGACCCTGGGCAAGTCATTTAACTCCTATTTGCCTCAGTTTCTCAACTGTAAAATGGGGACACACTAGAGAAAGAAAATGGCAAACCACTCCGGTATTTTTGCCAAGAAATTCCATGCACAAGCCTAGAGGGTCACAAAAAGTCAGACACAAATGAATGACTAAACAGTAATCAGGTGCCAGCACACTTTTCCACTGGTATAATTCTTCCCCTCCATCCTCTGCACTAGCCAAACAGGATAACTCAGGCTCCTGAACACACACAATTCTTACACCTCTGTGGTTTTGCTCTTGCTGTCCTCTCTACCTGGAAATGCCCTCCCCTTTTCTCTTTACCTGGTGAATTCCTACTTGTTAAAATCCACCTCTAACACCACCCCTTCCTTTTCCTGGTCAATAATAACTCTGCCTGTCAGACCTCACCCACGGTTTTCTTTTGTAACCCTCCAATGTATTCATCAGGCACTCTTAGCTATCAGTGTTAGTGAAAATTTCCCCTATCTGACTGCAAGTTCCATTTGGGTAGGGACTGGGACATGCCTAGAATCCTGTTCCTATCCCATTAAGGATGTTGTCTATCTTCTTAGAATGTAGAACTGTATTGAACACAGCCCACAAGCTTTTCCCTGCCCTTTTTATTTTTTAAAGCCAGGAAAGCTATGAGAAAAATAAAATGGTGAAGTTGGTTAAACCTGCTCTTCATCTTCCCTCCTCTCTCCACCCCAAACTTGGAAGGGTCTTAGAGAATCATAGTCAGAACTGGAAGGAGGCTTAGAAGCCATCACGTCCAACTCTTATTTTACACATGAAGAAACAAAGCCAAGGGAGGTTAAGTGCTTTGCTCAGAGTCACACTGATAGTAAGTCTCTGAGGCAGGATTTGAAACCAAGATTTCTTGACTCCAAGTCCAGAATTCTATCAACTGTGCTATATAATGCCTCCTCATGCTGCTCCATCCTTAATATCAGGAAGGAAACCAATCATCTAATAATTGATGCCTGGGTGTGAACGATGGGAATGTGTGACCCAGCCCCTTGTGTAACCCAAAGGGAGGAAGCACTAATGGTGGCATTCCAGACACTACCGGCCTACCTGGAGTGGGACATGGGGCACTGTTTTGGATGGGGGCCAGGATGCCCTCTAATCACGGCCCTTTTCTGCTCTAACCCTTTTTGCTTTTTCTCCACTACCTTGGTCAAATAACTCAGTAAAGGAGTTGGCTGTCGCTGGTTAACCAACCCCAGGTCATGTGCATGATGAATCTGTCTTCCTTTTCTCTGAAGAGCAAACCAGATTAGCTCTGGGTTTAAGCAATGACTTCAAGGTATGCGTGCCTTTAAAATATTTTTTTGCCTCTTTTGTGTGTGAGGTAACAGATGTGAGGTGGGCCTGAGCTGGATGATGTCTCATCAGGGAGGGTCTTTTGGTGCCACCTCCCCCTTCCCTTGACTCCCCTCCACCTAGTGCCTATGATAGAAAAGTGATGAGCATTCCAGGATTTGGGTCTCAGTCATGGGATCATAGGGTCACTGAATGCCAGAATTAGAAGAGATTTCAGAGATTGTTTAATCCTGTGATTCTCAAACTTTTTTGTCTCAGGACCCCTTTATATTCTCAAAAATTAGGTTATCTCCAAAGAGCTTTTGTACATATGTATATCTATTGCTATTTGTCATATTAAAAACTAAAATATCAAATAATTTTGATCTCATGGACCCTTTTTTGGGGTCCACGGACCCCACTTTGAGAAGCACTAGCTTAATCCAATGTCCTTATTTTATAGATGAGGAAGCTCAAAAGAGGTAAAGAGAGTGGAGTGTCTTGTCCTTAGGATTCAAATCTGGATGCTCTGACTGAATCTTCCCATTCTCCTCCTTTCTCTTGGCCTAACAGGAATTTGAGCCTAAGAAGAATGCCTCCCAAAGCTGTGAACCTTGGCCATGAGAAGGGAGGCCAAATCTCCTTATGTCTTCTCAGTGACTAGGATGGCTGGAGACTAGAGTTTCCCGCCTCGGCAGCCACTTCTCTCCCACCACCCTCTGTTTTGTTTTCCGCTCCCCTGCCCCCTGGGGCTCTCCTTCTGGAGTGTGGTCAACTTGTACCATGGCCTGGCTTGGCTTCCAGGTCCCAGGAAGGATGACAGTCTTGAGGTATCCCAAACTTTTCTTTTTCAGGATCATCACCTCTTAATAGGCAGAATCTGGCCCCCAGCCAGATATGTATACCTCTGTATCCAATCAAATGCATACTTTTCATATTGCTTTACCAACAGCTGTGCCTTTTTTTTTTTTAATGGTTCAGGGTTTTTTTTTTTAACAAAAGTTCCTTCATATAAAATAAATTGAAAAAGACACTTGAAAACCCCTATCAATCCTGCTTATGAATAACTGAAACAGACAAAGGGAAGGGAGATGGGGTGAGGGGAAAGAACTACAGAGGAAAAATTTCGAATTCACTGCAACACTCGGTGTGGGCAATTTGTATCTTGTCTCGGTGAAGCCTTTATCTCAAGTGACAGATGCTGAATAAGCTGCCAAAACATCACAGCAATTAAGGGCTACAATATCAAGAGCAAATGTTTTAATTCATTTCGTTTTTCTTTTTTTAAAAAAGGGGGGGAGGGAGGAGAGAGAGAGAGAGAGAGAGAGAAGAGAGAGAGAGAGAGAGAGAGAGAGAGAGAGAGAGAGAGAGAGAGATCCTTATTCTCTCCCTTTTGGGTTTCCAGAGAGGCATCTGTAAACTATTAAACTGGTTTATTTTCATTAGTGCACTCACGGCGGAAGTGACATTTATATCCTTGTGGTAGGACTGAGAGAGCCAGGAGCTTTCCATGGGAATAGAGCCCCCACGGCTTTTTCCAAAGCTGACAGAGGTTCTCATGAATACAAGCTTCATGTTCAGAGAGGATTCCAGGCCCTCAAAAAACATGCCGATTCCATCTATCTAGCCCTTAGCAGTACCAGAAAAGGCCTTTATTTTCTCCACCAAGGGAAAAAAAAAAGTAAAGAAAACATCCTTCTTTTGCCTGCACAACCCCTGCCTGCTGGGCATCCCTAAACTCAGAGACCTTAGCCACTGACTGTAATACACCTGGGAGGGACAAAATCTATTAGCTTTTCTGTTCCCATTGGGGAAAGGCGGTTTAAATTGCAATCTGTTATCAAGCCCCCAGTGATGTTCCATTAGGCCACCTGCTGGCCAGCTGGAGTCAGTGCAGGCAGGTGCCAAAGCTAACCTTGCCTTCCTTGGGTGGTTGGCCCCAACTTTGTATGGAGGCAGAGCTGTGTCCCTGGAGGCTGCCCCTGCCCCTTACCCCTCCCAGTGACTCTTTAGGTACCATGTCTCTCCTCCCCCTCAAAATTGTTGGGCAGTGTTTGAGCTCTTAACATTTCCTTAGCATCCTTCAAGTTTTCTCTCTATCATTCTTTTCTTCCTTTATGTTCACTTCCCATTTTTCCCCATTCCAAGCACTAAGAGATCTCTGGCTTTCCCATCCGTCAGGCCAAGGAAAGATGCTTCTGATATTTACTACCAGATGCTTTTTATTTAAAGTGTGACCCATGGCATCTCAGGAGTATTTTCATTTTAAGATGGTCCCGGAGAGAGCAACGTTTAACCCAAAGGGAGAGAGCTAATGGTAGGGTTTCAGATACTGCCCCCAAGATGTGGGGCTGGGACAGTGCTTTCTTGGAAAGGGTCTTATTCTCTGGGTTTCTTCCAAGTACTTAATGCCTACTTTGTCCACTTTGCCCAGGTGTAAGTCTGTTCTCTGATTGAATTAATGCCTCATAGGATTTGTCAGGCTCGTTAAACAGTATGGGGTTCTAATGGTTCTTCCCTCCTTTGCCTCTGCATGGTAAACCATATGAGTTCTGGGTGTAATGTAGCAGCATCTATAGAGGAATAAATGTGTTTTATACAATTAAAAAAAAAACCCAACCCAAACCTCTGCTTTTGTGTGCAAGAACAGATGTGGGGTGGGTCTGGGCTGGGTGGTCTCTCTATGGCTGCTTGTCAGGGAGAGGTTGTTTGGGTTCAGAACCCCCATAAGCAATTTTCTATGGCCCCCTACTGCCATGCCTGGCAGGCAGAATTCCTACAGCTGAATTTTTGTTCCTCGTATTTTTCCTGTCACCTCTTCCCTTTTCACTAACCATCTGCAGAGATCACAATTTTAGGTTGATGACCTTTTGATCCCACTCCATAGATGACCACCCATCTGCAATCCCAGACTGGCCTGTGGTTCAGCATCTCCTGTTTGTCCCGAGAGCTGATGCTATCAACATGGGTTTTGCCAGAGCTGTATACAGCATAGTCTCCATTCAGGTTTTTGAGACAATTCATTGAGATGCCTGCATATGAAGGTCAAGAAGTTCTATGTTCCTTCAAGTGAGGTTCTTTCAAACTACCCTGTTATGTTTCCCTGCCCCCATCTTCCCCCCTGAGCCATCAGATACAGACAGAGCTTCCAGTCCCCTGGCCCAGGCCTTAGTTCCAGAATCCTAAAGCAGTCATACTTGGAGGGGCTTTGGAAATCACCCCATTTTACAGATGGGGATACTGAAGCCCAGAGAAGGAGAGCCCCTTAGCCAGTCATTCAAGTATTAAGTGGCAGAGCCAGGATTTGAACCAGACCTCAGGCTCCCCAGTTTATTGTTTTTTCTCCTATATCCCCAGAAGAAGGCCTGTTCTAGGCTCCACTCCCATCTGGTTCTTCTTCCAACTAAGGAGGGCTGTGGGGGGCGGGGACAGGGACTAGAGGCCATACACAGGAAGCAAAGAGAGGCTTCTGGGAATGACAGGAAAATGTTCCTGCTATTTCTGAGCCTCTCCATCCCTCATAGCCATTGCTGGAATATCCAATTAGTGAAGGGCAGTGTTGGTTGGCAGAAGGAAGGATGGCCCAAGCAGGCTCCTGTATGATGCTGAGGAGTCTCCTGACCGTCCCGAAGACTGGGGCTATGGTGAAGAAGCATGGGAGGGCAAAGGAGAAACACCAGCAGTCCCAGGTACACAGAGAGCATCTGTGTTGCTGAGCCTCCTGTATTCATAAAGGATCTCAGGTCTTAGAGCTAGAAGGCATCCTGGAACTATCTGGTCCAGCTATGCCCTCCGGCAGGAGATGTGGTAGTCCAGCGAGGGGGGGTTGTAACCAGAATTCAGGGTGACATGGCTATTGTTTCCAAGCACAAGACTCCTTTTCTCTTTTAACTTGGCCTCTGGCATCCTTTCCTTAGAGTCTGCCTGGAACCTTAGGAGAGCTCCCTTGGGAGAAAGGGATCGAGGCAGTCTGGGTCAATCTCTTTCTGACTCCCCCCTACTTCAACTATGTACTTTTATACTAGGATGCACGTATTGTTCAAGGTCCAAACCATGGAGCTGGATTCCACTATTTATCCAGCGGAAATGGGCAGACTTCAGCCTATGTACAGACCAAGGTATGCCAGGTGGCATGATGATGTATGTCACAGAGGGGCTGGTTTATGCTGACTGTTGCCCTAAGGGCTGCTGGGACATTTGATGCCAAAATCCCATCTGGTGTCAGCAACCAAAATGGATCTTGAACAACATCAGCTGGTACCAGTTCATATTCTGCATCTTAAATGAAAAACCTTTGGTTCTGTTTATAGTTTTTTTCTCATCCTTTTCCAGGTTTGTTTGTTTGTTTGTTTTGAAGAACTCAAGCTTTTTGATTTTCAAACAAACACTCTGTTTAGGTAGGTCTCCCTCCTCTTTCCTGGCCTGACAACATCAGATGCTCATGAGTGAGGATAACCGAGACAGAAGTTGGAGGGAAGGTCTGGGTCTGGGCTCTGCTGTCCTCAGCAGCCACAGGAGAGAAGGCATATTGGTTGGAGAGCATGTCCTTGGATGGCTCTGTAGGGTCCTTTCTTAACCAGCCCTTCTGTTGGGGGCAGGAACAGCCATCCTTGTACTGTGGGTAGGAAAGGAGGGTGAGGTTCATTTTCCTTTCCTTCCCTCTCCCCCTTTTTTCTTTTTTTTTTAAAAACATTTTTTTCTTTTTTTTCTCTTTTTTCTTAAAAAAAGTTTTTAAGAAAAAGGTAGCTTAGTCCTGGTTGAGGGCTGCTGGGAATCATTCAGTTCACTGTGGGCACCTGGTTCTGATGGAGGCTGAACTCTTTGGCTTTGAGGCGAAGGCTGGCGATGCTGTTGGCCATGTTGACCCCCTGAGTGGGAGGGGCTGTCCCCCCGGGGCTGTAGGATGGCACCGTGCTGGGGTGAGGGAAGGAGGAGACATAAGATAAGTGAATCACTCACAGCCTTGGCCCAACCACTTCCTGACTCTGGTGAGTTCCCATTCTTGCTCTCTCTCTGTTCACCTTCCTACCTTGGCTTTCTCTTTAAATCACATGGGATCTCAGATTTGCTCCTTCCCTTTCAGAAGTGCCAGGAGGTTGGCAGGACTTGGGGAAGAGTTAGAAGCACCTTTCAGTGTGGGGGTTCAGTAACCTTTGAAATCTTAGAAATATGGAATTTCAGAGCTGGAGGGGATTCTTGAGTTCATCTCTGGCAGTTAAGACCCCCAGAAAAACGTTAGTTCCCCACCTCCCCTGCCATCTCAAGTAAGAACAAGGAAGGAGGAGGTGGTGTGAGGGGAGCCCTGACCAGACATTCTAACTCCCTGCTCTCCCCATGCCCCACTTCCTCTCTTCCCTTCTTCCCCTTCACACCGGCAAGCCCATCTCGATGTTCTGTACAGGCGTGGAGCTGCCCCCGCAACTGGCTCTGGAGCCCCCATCAGCCGGCGCATCTCTGGCAGGCGGGCGTGAGTGCCCAGAGCTGCCAGCAGCTGAGCTGAAATTGAGATTAGAGAGTGATCAGAACCCAGGGGCTGGGGTGTCCGGAGTGGAGCCTAGATACCAGAGCAGGCCCTTCCCTATGCACTTGGCCTGATGAGCCATTCAGAATCCCCCTGACTCCCCGTCTTAGCTCCCTTTCTTGTCCTAGAAGACACTGAGGTTTTTCTAGGCTTTTCTTAGTCATTTAGAAATTCCTTTTCCAGAATAGATTCCTCTAAAAGCCATCTGATAAATCAATCTCTTCTCTCTCTCTTTTCCTTCATCTCCCCTGTTCTCTTCCTCCCCTTTCTTTCCCTCCATTTGTCCCATTCCCTTTCTCCTTTACCTTCCCCTTTCCTCTATGATCCCTTCCCTTCCTCTTTCCCTTTCTCTCCTTTTTTCTTTCCCCCTTTCTCTTCCCTCTCTCCTACCTTTCCCTTTCCCTCCCTCCTTTTCCCTCTCCCTCTTTCTCATTTTCTCCTTTCACATTTCCCTCTCCTTCCTTTCTCTCTCTCTCTCTCTCTCTCTCTCTCTCTCTCTCTCTCTCTCTCTCTCTCTCTCTCTCTCTCTCATTCTCCAATTCCTTCTTCCTCTCCTTCCTTCTCCCTTTGATTTTCCATCTCCCTCTATCTCCCTTCTTCCTTTTCCTGTCCTTATCTCTTTCCCTTCCCCTTTTCCTCTCCCCCCAGTTCTACTCCACCCTTTCCTACCTAGTTGTGCCCAAATGAGTAGAGCCTGAGCTAACCTGTTCTGGGGCAGAGGTTTCCCACTGCTTTAGATTTTGGGATACCCACGCTCAAAGGATTCTTTAATTTCTCTGTTTCTGTGCCTCATAAGCACAGAGGAATTCTTTGCTGTCTCTTACTGTGCCGCCCAAGGAATAAAACAAAATCTGTCTTGAGCTCTCCATTTTGGGGATCCTTTCTTCCCCAAACTTCAAGAGGCCTTGTTTCTTCTCCCTTTGCTCTCTAGCAGCCCCCCGGCCCAAAGTGCCTGGAAGGTGGGGTGGGGAGAGGGCAGGCTCAGAGTGTTGGGGGAGTCTCACCTGTAGGGGGTTGTGGTCGTCCAGGACAGATAGTCTGGACTCAGGGCTGTTGGCCTGGGTGCCATCGGCTGCTCGATGGCTGCTTCCTGGCTATAAGACTTGAGGAGCGAGGCAGATCTGTTGGCTAGCATGGCTCTCTCATTTCGTCGGAACTTCGCTCTTCGGTTCTGGAACCATACCTGGGCAGAGACCAGGAAGCACACAGTGAAGGGGTGCCAGGTTGAGGAGAGTGGGGCATGCAGGGAAGGGAGGAGACTGGCTATGAGTCTGGGCATCCCCAGCTCTTCTTGATGGGTCATAGCCAGCCAGCAAGATCATTAAGTTTATCTCAGCCTAGTTTATCTTAGATGGGAGCAAAAAAATCCCTGATACTTTAATGGTGGGACTGTAGGCATGGGACCAGGAGATCTTTCCAGAGGCCATAAGAAGTTAGCACCTTCCCTCCCAATGCCCATTCCAATCACAGGACCTTAGAAGAGATCTTGGAGACCATCTAATCTGGCCCCTTTATGGAGTGAAGATGAAGAATAGGCCTGGTGGGGTTTCACAATGTACCCCACATTACACAAGGAATGAGGCTTACACTGCTCCCAGCACCCTGTGCTGCTTCCTCCATGGAGCAGGCTGAGGCCTCCTGCTGCTCTCACCTGCACCCGGGCCTCACTCAGGTTGACCCTGCGCGCCAGCTCCTCTCGGACGAAGGCATCGGGATAGTGGGTCCTCTCGAACACCCGCTCCAGGGCTTGTAGCTGGCTGCTGTTGAAGGTGGTTCGGTTTCTACGCTGCTTCTTCTTCCTCTTGGCGACTCCTCTGCTGGGGCTGAGGCACTCACCTGGAGTCACAGGGAGAGACAGAGAGACAGAGCACCTGGAGGGACGACGTCCCATGCCTTCTCATCATTCACAGAGGCCATCCCAGCAAACGCCACGTTGTGGGTTCCCATCCTTGTCAACGTCTGCATTTTGTAGTGCAGGATGAGGTGGCTGGTCCTGGAGTTAGGAAGACCTGAGTTCAAATCCAGCCTCAGACACTCACTAGCTCTGTGACCCTGGGCAAGTCACTTAACCTGTTTGCCTTAATCCACTGGAGAAGGAAATGGCAAACCACTCCAGTATCTTTGCCAAGAAAACCTCATACAGGGTTACAAAGAGTCAACACACGACTGAACAACACCAATGATGTAAAGAGCCTTGGATTTGGAATGAGAAGAATTGGGCTTGAATTCTGGCTTTGCTGCTTACCATCTCTGTGGCCTTGGGGAATCTCTTCCCTCTTATGGGCCTCAGCTTCCTCATCTGAAAAATGAGACGATTCTAAAAGATCTCTAAGGTTCTTTCCAGTTCTAAATAACAATTGTTAAATAGGGCACTTTAAGGTTTGCATAGCACTTTACAGATACTATCTCTATTCTTATAGCAAACCTGGGAGATTTGGGCTATTATTATTTACTTCTTATCAAAAAGGAAACTGAGGCAGACAAAGATTAAGTGATTTGCCTAGAGTTATCAAGCATCTGTGGCTGGATTTGAATTCAGGTCTTCCTGATTTCAAGTCCAGTGCTTCATCTATTGTGCCACCTAGCTGCCGATATAATGATATGAATCCTATGATACTATTATGCACTGTTGTATCTTTTCTCCTTATTAAATTGTAAACTGATTATTGAGACTGAGCTTTCATTGTACAGCTCATTTACTCTGTTGGCATCTTCACTAAATCCAGAGAAACTGAGGAAGGACCCATAGCCTTTGGTGGAGGGGCTTCTCCCAGCGACAAAGCCACAGAGGGATACGGATAAGGGTTCCATAGTATGGGACAGGCACAGGTAAATTGTTATCTGCAGCATTGCAGAGGATACCCATATCAGTAAGCTCAGGAATCCACTGGAGCATCTGAGATTAATGGTGCCTTCATCGATGGACCCCCTTCAGTAGCCTAGCACAGGGAAAGCTGTAGCATCATAGCTGGTACTCCATCGAAAAGCTGAATTGATCTGAACCGAATCCTTCCAAAGTCCTAATAACTGCCGGCATTCCTACAGATGGCCTTTAAGGCTCACAAAGCATTTCTTCCACACCAACCCTTTGAAGGAGGTAGCACAAATATGATGGTTCCACTTCAGAACTGAGGAAAGTGAAACTCAGAGAGAGGGCTTAGACGGAATGACTGGCCTGGGGCCACACAGGCCCCAGGTGGCAGAGCCGGCATCACACCCGGGTGTTGCTTGCCTCCAAGTTCAAGGCTCTTCTCACTGCACTAATTGCCTCTCTGCACCTGCAGATGACCCAGGTGGAAGTCAGTCTGTGCCCAGCTGCACTTGTTAAACTTCAGAACGTGAGATCCCCCGCTACATCTACCTCACATCCTTCCACTGCACAGGGCCAACAAATCAGGGTCCTGGCAGGCATTGCTGGCACCTGAGCAAACACTTCCCCAAATGCCCCTGCTAACCTCTTAAGTTCAAAAGTCTGGTCCTGACCCCCCACCCCTCCCCCCATCGCCTTTTACAGACAAATTCAATTGAAGGGAAGAGAATAAACCTTAAGACACAAAACGCATGGGAGTAGAGACTCCAGGACATCACCCCATTGTGGAGAAATAGGGGCCCTTGGACACTGACCCCACAGGCAGTGATCCTAGGAATCCTGCAAGGTTGCATCTGGGGGAGGGGGCAGGGCAGAGCTCCTCGGATATAACGGTGAGGAGAAAGGATGAGGCCATTAAGTAGCTTCTTATTTTAATTATACAGTTGTTTCTACCTCCTGAAGGAATGCAAGTGGAATTACTGGTGCCTTCCAAATTTTGGTGCCACGAAACAAAACCCTGATTACCCGCCTTGGGTAACTGCTGTAGTTTCCACCCTCCATCATGAGGAAGTCAAAGTGATTTTCCTGGAGTATAGGCCTGATTACATCATTCCCCTATCCAGGGGTGAGGATCCTGTGGCCTCCAGACCACACGTGGTTTTGTAGGTCCTTGAGTTTGGCCTTTTGACTGAGTCCAAGTTTTACCGAACAAATCCTTTTACTAACAGAATTATTTTAATTTTATTAAGGGGATTTGTTCTGTGAAGACTTTGCCGATATCCCCAACTTGCTAGCATCTTCTCCCTACGTGGCCCCAAAGTCTTAGCACTAAAAACTTCATTCAAACTCTCAAATCTTCAAACTCCTTTAAGACTTAGGGGACACCTTGCCTATTTACACACATGTTGGCTTCCTCCAGAGAACAAATTCCTTTCGGGCAGAGACTCTAGAATTTTTGACTTTGTGCTCCTGGTGCCTGGCACAGAGTAGGTGCTTAATAAATACGTGTTGATGGATGGATGGTCACAAAGCCTCATGAGATGGATTTCAGCTTGGAATTGGCAGCAGAATGGCATGCATTTAGTTGATAATGTTTTGAGCTCTCTGCTGGGATACTGACTTCCTTCCAGACTTCTCTTGTGGAGAGAACTTGTCAGCTGTTTATACTCCCATGTATCTCCTGCATTTGTCTTCTGCTCATTAGGGAGCAAAATTAATTACACTTCCTCCTTTAAGGTCTTCTTAACTCCTACATCCTCTGTGAAGAATTCCTTGCATTTGTCATGCATTCAGCGAATACTTATTGGCAGCTAGATGGCGCAGTGGATAGAGCACGGAGCTTGGGATCAGGAAACTTTGTCTTCATGAGTTCAAATCCAGCCTCAGAACCTGACTAGCTATGTGACCGGCCAAATCACTTAACCTTGTTTGCCTCAGTTTCATCATATGCAAAATAAGAAGGAAATGGCAAACCAACTCCAGTATCTTTGTTAAGAAAACCCCAAATGGGGTCATGAAGAGTTGGACACAACTGAATAACAACAGCAAATACTTAATTGACCATTCCACCATAGAGAAGGCATCATGGGACAAACTTAATTAAGTCTTTTGCTTGTTTTGTTTCTCCAGATAAGAGCTCCTTCAGGGCAAGGACTGTTTCTTAGACTGTCCTCTTGCCTGTCTTGGCCCCCCAAACTCCCTACCCAAGGACTACTTAGGGCTAGGCACCCAGGAGGTGCTCAGGAATCAGGAAGATCTGGGTTCGAATCTTGTCTCTGACACTTATGAGCTGTGCTGATCCTGGTGCAGTTACTTGATCTTTCCAAGTCTTAGTTTCCCCACATCTGTAGTACCTACCTCACAGGTTTGCTGTGAGACTCACATAGGTGAATGGAGAGGCAGCCCAGAGTAGTAGATAGCAACCTGAATTTAAAGTCAGGAAGAACTAGGTTCAGACTCTGCCTTTGACATTTATTAGCTGATACTGGGCAAGTCACTTAACTCCTCTGGGCTTCAGTTTCCTCATCTGAAAAATGACAGGATTGGACTACATGGCCTCTTCTACCAACAGGTCAGTGCTCCTATCTACGTATCTGGCTTTATCTGGCTCTGCTAACTTTAAAGCATTGTCATTATCATTTGCCTAGGATGTGGATGCTGCTGGAGCATTGCTTTCTTCTTAGTCAAGCTGAGATCTTAGGAATGTTATCAGGGAATGGGGACTGGACCTGAGATTTCAGAGGCCTAGGAAATGCCTTCTCTCAATGCAAGTTAGGACCTTCTCTGTGGCTTATCATCTAAGACAGAGGTGCCCATCAAGGCTGCAGCTGTCAACATTCCTGAGTACTGCCAGAACCAAATTAAAATCTAATTGAGAAATACTGAACAAAATAAATAAAAATACAATAGAATAGATCACGTTAATATGTGGTTTTCTAAGTCAATCTGCCTCTGCAGGAATCCTTATGTAAGTTTAGTGGTTCTCTTTCCTATTTGAGTTTGACATCCCTGATCTTAGGGAGTTATTATCAGAAGTTCAATGATTTGCCCAGCATCACTCAGCCAGAATATGTCACAGGCAGGACAAAGACAGGTCTTCCTTGTTTCAAGGCTGGCTTTCTAGCCACTCCTCCATGCTGCCTCCACTAGAATATTCACACTGCATTTACATTTCTGGGAGAAAAATATCAGAGTGGGGAGGAGCGGGACACAGTGAAATAGGGAGGGCCTACTGGGTACCCAAAACCAGTCTGGTTATTTGGCATTTTCTTCTTTTTCTGATCAGTTTAAGTCAAAAGGAGATGGGGCAGAAATGTAGTGATTTTCTTGTTTCTTTGAGTTCCAGATAACTGATCAGGCCTCTTAGCCTCACATACACATAAGCAGGCATTCCCATACATATTGTGTTTGGGCGTAGACCCAACCCAGTGAAAATTTTCAGCCAAAAAAGGAGAATTTTTCCAGGAAGTTTCTGAGCCATTCAAAATGGGAGTTATAATGAAAACCATTTTGCCTTTCTAGTGCTTTTGACCACCAGAGTGGTTAAGAGACAACTTTTCTGGCTCCAGGTTGTCGGCTAGGTGCCTGTGATGGAGCTCAAGTGGTCCTACTGAAACCCTGTTTCAAACCAATGCACGGGAGTCCCTGGCAAGCTGGAGACTTGGTGACTGATAACCACCATCTCCTTTGTTTCGTGATCCAGGGCAGGAAGGATTCCTTTTGGATCCTGTGTCTCATCCAAACTGTGATGGAGATAACCCTAAAGACCTTGTAGAAAGTGTGTCCTTAGGATGCAATGGGGAGGGTTTGGAAACTCACTTTCAGCCCCCAGCTCCAAATTTCCTTTTATAATCATGTAGGAATTCCTAGCTTAATTTAGGGCCCATGAACTTGTTTATAATATACAGATCTCTCTCTCTCTCTCTCTCTGTCTCTCTCTCTCTGTCTGTCTGTCTATCTATAAGTCTATTTAAATATATAGGCAGCTAGGTGGCAAAGTGGATAGAGCAGTGGACTAGGAATCAGG